TCGTGTTTACCTACGGTTAGTCGACTCGCTTTAATAACTGGAAACTTCCAGAAATTTCGTATAAAAGTGAGTTTTTCAAAAAGTCAGCCAGGGTTGGTAAGAGTAACCACTCATGTTTCAACGTCCACAATTTGCTGCGATCGCCTACAAATCACAAATTATTTTGTTGTCAATTGCATCGCTACGTCCAGACTAGGGATGGGACATCGATCCTATAACATCGATGGTAGCAGATGTTGACATTGACGAAAGGTAATATCGATGTTAGGGAAACATCGGAGGCAGAACATCGATGTTTGACAATATCGATGTTCGGATAGTTTGCCGTTGCATACAAATTTGAAATTGATTAACTTAGACTTAAATAATTTTATTTTACTACTCCTATGACATTTTAAAACAATGCAATGTTGAATACTCGACTTAATTTATTCAACTTATAGTTGCCACATTTTTCGGGAAACTGACTCCAAAAAGAGTAATTTACCTAACCTTTCAGACGATATATCGAGTTTACAAAAAAAAATATCCGATGGTTTCATTTCAGAATCTAGGATCGATGTTCTAAATTTCCAACATCGATGGTAAAAATATCGAATATCGAACGAATTACATGTACATCCTTACAAAGAATAATCTAATCAGAGTCGCATCGCCCAGCCCGACATCGATGTTAGATCTTGAAATGAAATCATCGGACATTTGATGTTGATTCTAGATAGAAGCATTTTCTGCGAACTCTTTGATAGTGCCGATACAAACGATACCGCGATATAGCGGCCCATTTCCAGCTGCACCCAACCATTTTTTTTGCAGCCAGTTGACCGAAAACGTGGCAACTACAAGTTGAATTTAATGTCATAGTAGTAGAAAAATAAAATTATTTAAGTTCAAGTTAATCAATTTGAAATTTGTATGCAATGGCAAACTATCAGAACATCGATGTTGTTAAAAATCGATGTTCTGCCTTCGATGTTATATCATCCTGAGCACGTGCCCTTGAAGCCGATAGCGAGTTAGCCGCTTCTTCAACCCGACTGCGAGTTAGGCGGTTATTCTGGTAAACCGTCGATACGGTCTAATATTGAAGCGAAAGCATTACAATTACAATGAAAGCCAGAGGAGAGACGAGAGTTTATAAAAATTGAGCATTAAGCCTGCATGGAAATAATTGCTAAGCGTACAGAAAAGTATTCGATAATGTAGAAGACGAACACTATTATTTAATAAATATTTGTTACATAATCAGTACAATCATTAATTTAATAAATAGCTCACCAATTATAAATAATCGATATTTTAATTTTATATATTCCATTTTGAAGATTAACTTAATACTTAATATGTGTTCAATTAACTCTAGAAACTGGAAAAGTAAAAAGTTTTAATCATGATTGTTCCATTGTAGGAAATGATTTGGTCGTTTTCTTTATAGATTTCTTCTATTTAAACATGTTTCAAGGAGCTCCAGAACATCTTTATTATTTATCAACACTTATGTTATAATACGACACTGAATCACCCTTGAACGGCCGATTTCAGTGTGTTTATTTTCATGCGTTTACGTGCGCACTACCGGGGAATTTTTGTATTGCCGATTACCTAAAATCGGTGAGAGCAAATTCACCTGGTCTAGACCAGGCGAGTGACAATTCACATGTGTGAGAATCTTACTATCATGCGCAAGCACAGAACTGACTGAATCATGAGTTTAGTAATCTGGGATACAGAAATAAATTAAGGGCCCTATTCTGTAACTATTCCGTTAAACGTTAACGTACGTTACAAAGTTTATTGCCGCTTAAGTTTTTATTGGTATTCTGTAAATCGATTGTCCATTAAACACATAACCTAAATCCGTTATAAATATCGGTCAGCCGCTTATTTTAAAGGGTAGCCTAAAAATAGCCGCTAAGTATAACCGGACAAGTTGTTGACAAATTAATATAAAATATAAGTGTTTTAAAGAAGTTGTTTCAGTACAACAGTTGAATTTGTATTAAATTTGATGTTTTATAATATTGGTATAGAAGTCCTGAGAGAAGAAATCATCGAAAATGAAAAAAAGTACTGTTAAATGTTGTCCTTGCTGTTTGATTTGATAAGCATTTTTTCCACAGGACACAACTTTGCTTATACCATGAAAGTCTTCGAGACACCAGCAATCCAGATATACATTAAGAAGTTACGGACGTAACTCAGAATGGATTTTTGCAAAGTTCAATGTTTTATTTTGTTTGTCCACGTGATTCTGCATTCTGCAGTATGGCAAGCTTCAAGAATTATAAGCAATATGAAAGATTAGTTTGTCAAACGTAGTTTTTAGGTTTCATTTTTTTTGGGCGACTGCATGTCCCTTACAACCGTTTCTGATAACACCGTTCGAAAATTATGTGGAAAATATCACAGAAAATAATTTTAGGCAATTGGCAATAGGCCTGGGTAACTCAGTGAATTTTCATGAGTTGGCGTAGTGTTGCGCAAATGGCTTGGTGCACCAACCCAACTCACCGGCGCAGTAACTCACTGGCTCAGATTATCTTGCAGGAAACTCATATAAGTAAACTTGTATATGTATATTACGCCATACGATCAATGTGCTTTCGATCACAGAACATCCCCCCTTAGAATTGAAACTGCAATGATAGATTTTGAATATACGTTTAGCGCCCCTGACGGCGACACGCGTGAAACTCGATTAAAATGTGAGTCATCTAGTCTTTCGAACTTTTGCTCCTTCCGGGTGCCTTTTGGTTTAAGCTTGGTTTTCATGGGTCCGGAATGCTTTGCGGAAGCGGTGTGGGGAAAGTGCGCGCACAGCCTTCTACTACAATACATTACATGAGACACAATACAACTCTTTTTCTCTACATTTTTCTTGGCAGTATTTCGAGGCGCATGAAATGAACGTTCGATACCAAAAGCTAAATCTGCTTTTGTCTTTGTACGTTCTAAAAAGAAGGAAACAAAGACATCAAAATGAAAGACTGCCGAATAGACGCCGCCGAACATAACCGTTCTAGGTTTGCACATTCTTCCGCACGTTATGCTGAAAATATTCAAATTTGGCAACTTCTGCGGATGGGTAGAGCTAACACATCCGGCAAACTTCTGATTGGTCGGAAGGTTTTCCGTATTCTGCATTCGGGACGCGTTCCGGACTCATGAGAACCCGGCTTTATGGTAATTTTCCGAGTGTTTTTAATCGCGTTAGTGATTTTTGCAGATGGACCCCCTTGCCCCTGCGTTTTAACGGACGGTGGAGGGAAGAGGCAAAGAGTTGGGAGAGAAGGGGGTTATGAGGGGGCTATTGTTTGAGGGAGGTTTGGGCGGTTAGTTTTCACATTCCAGGGGGGCCATGATGGATTTATGGCCTCCCTAGTGCGGATTAGTGTTTCTCGTATTAGAATGTCCTTTCATTACGAAGATGGTTTCTACTTTATCTCTGCAAATGGTGGTCTTTAACAAAGTCTTTTCACAATATCTGCATGCGATAGGTATTAAAAATTCACTTTAGAGCTGTTGTGCGAAGCTCACCCTTTTTTAAATGCAAAAATGCTGTTTGGGGGTGGAGATACGCTTTAAATAGTGGACTGTATGTAGGGTAATATAAACACTGTGGTTTGCTTGAAATGTGTTGATAATGTTATATTGCAAGGTTTTGTACACTGCTCCAATATGGAGGCAAAGAACGCAGAATATGAAACATCAATGAATATCAAGTGAAGAAATAGCAATGGCGGTTATTCC